GCGCTGCGGACCCGCTGGCCGCGCGGTCTGGATGCCGCCCGCACGAGGTGCAACGGAAGAGCGCGGCGCGGGCGAACTTGGGACCGCCGAGGAGCTGAAGAACGTTCCCCTCGTGGAGGACGACGCTGTGAGTGCGGTTCTCCGCGGATCCCGCGTGTTTTTCCAAGAAGGCGGGGCAGAGGTAGGGGACGAGGAGTGCGTCGTGTTCCTCGACACAGAGACCACGGGTCTTGACCCTACTGCTTGCAAGGTTCTTGAGCTAGCGCTTCTGAAGGTTTGGTATTCCCCGAGCCAGCGGCGTCCTGTCTTCATCGACGGGGCCTACGACCAACTGGAAGATCCCCAGGAGCAGATCAGCAATTCTAGACGCTTCGCGTATCCCCACCAGCCCGTCCAGAAATGAGTCCCAGGGGAGTGGAGGTTATGAGGGAAGCGGGGGAGCATGCAGAAGAACAGAGGGCGGGGTGAGCCGCCATATACCCCAAGAGGGGGAGGATGTAGGAGGAGCCGTCGTCGTCGGAGTAGGAGGAGGAAGAGGAGGAGCAGGAGGAGGAGCAGGAGGAGGAGCAGGAGGAGGAGGAGGAGGAGGAAGATAAGGAGGAGGAGATGGAGGACTGCGAGGACGAGGAGGACGAGAAGGAGGAAAAGGAAAAAGGAGGAGGAGGAGGAGGAGGAGGAGGAGGGGGAGGGGGAGGAGGGAGGAGGAAGAAAAAGAGGAGGAGGAGGAGGACAATGGCGAGCTTGGGGCCTCTTGGGCCGTCTTTGGAGCCTCTTGGCGGTCCCGGGGGCCTCTTGCGTATCTCGGGGAGCCTCTTGTGGCCTCTTGGGGGTCTCTTGGGGGCCTCTTGGAGGCCTCTTGGGGGCCTCTTGGGGCCTCTTGGGGCTCTCTTGGGGCGCTCTTGGGGCGCTCTTGGGAGCTTTCGAGGCGCTCTTGGGGCCATCTTGGAGGAGATCTATCAAAGAAGGGGGGGTCCTCAATTAGCGCTGCCCCTCTAGAGTGCCTCGAATCGCTTCTTGGGCCCTTCTTGAGGCCAAAATCTTTCCAAAACCTAGGTAAAATCAATGTTTTGTGTTTTCTCGCCTTTTCGCTCTTGGAGCCGTCTTGGGCCGTCTTGGGAGCCTCTTGGGCCTCTTGGAGGTCTCTTGGGAGCCTTTTGGAGGCCTCTTGGGCGCCTCTTGGGGCCTCTTGGGGCGCTCTTGGGGCGCTCTTGGGGCGCTCTTGGGAGCCTTCGGGGCGCTCTTGGGGCCATCTTGGAGGAGATCGATCAAAGAAGAGGGGGTCCCCAATTAGCGTTGCCCCTCTAGAGTGCCTCGAGTCGCCTCTTGGGCCCCCCAAGAGGCCAAAATCCTTCCAAAACCTAAGGAAAATCAATGTTTTTTGCTTTCTCGCCTTTTCGCTCTTGGAGCCGTCTTGGGCCATCTTGAACTCTCTTGGGGCCTCTTGGGGGTCTCTTGGCAGCCTCTTAGAGGCTTCTTGGGGGCCTCTTGGGGTCTCTTGGGGCCCTCTTGGGGCGCTCTTGGGGCGCTCTTGGGAGCCTTCGGGGCGCTCTTGGGGCCATCTTGGAGGAGATCTATCAAAGAAGGGGGGAGCTCCAATTAGGGTTGCCCCTCTAGAGTGCCTCGAAGCGCCTCTTGGGCCCCCCCAAGAGGCCAAAATCCTTCCAAAACCTAAGGAAAATCAATGTTTTGTGCTTTCTCGCTTTTTCGCTCTTGGAGCCGTCTTGAGCCATCTTGGGCGTCCCTGACACCTCGCGAGACGCCTCGTCCAGGTCAGTGGGGAGGGGTAAGGGGAGGGGTAAACCCCTCCCCGAAGGGAAAGAAGGGGGGTTGGCAGAGGAAACGCTCTAGACCACCTACGCCCTAAAGGGCTGGTGGGATTTTATCACTGGTCTCACAGGCATCTCGAACGAAAAATCCATGAGGCCGACGCCACATCCGCCGTTCCCAGGCTATTGCGTCGACTGGTTGCCCCCAGCAGGCGCTGATGGAGACACGCGAGCATTTTTTTGGAGGACGGCGAGGATGATAATGAGGATGTGATCGAGGCTGGGCCGATGATGCTGATGCTGCTGCTGCTGTTGATGATGCAATTGACGATGATGCTGCTGAGGATGATGATGATGCTGATGATGATGAACATGATGATGGTGATGAGGATGCTGATGCTGATGATGATGACGATGCTGATGCTGATGGTGATGCTGATGCTAATGACGATGCTGATGCTGATGCTGATGACGATGCTGATGCTGATGCTGATGCTGATGCTAATGATGATGCTGATGCTGATGATGATGACAATGCTGATGCTGATTGTGATGCTGATGCTGATGATGATGCTGATGATGCTGCTGCTGATGATGATGATGATGATGATGATGTGGATGATGATGATGATGATCATGATGATGATGCTGATGATGATGATGATGATGGTGTTGATGATGATGCTGATGATGATGATGCTGATGATGAGGAGGATGATGCTGCTGCTGATGCTGCTGCTGCTGATGATGATGATGATGAGGATTATGATGCTGATGCTGACGCTGATGAGTATGACGACGACGGCGAAGCTACGAGTGTGACTGCGGCGATTACGGCGACGGCAACCGTACGGATGATAATTATGATGATGATGATGATGATGATGATGATGATGATGATGATGATGATGATGATGATGATGATGCAACTTAGGAGGATGGGCAGCAGGCTGAAAACGAGGAAGATGACAAACGAGAAGGAGGGGGAGGATGGGAAGGACGAGGGTTGGAGACATGACAATGCTAATGTTAATGATGGTGTAAGTGACGATGATGCTGCTGATGTCGGTGATGATGGTATTACAGTGTGATAACGTCATGATGGCGATGATGGTGGTCATGTTGACGCAGATGGTGAGGGAGATGATCGTGACGAGGAGGAGGAAGAGGAGGACTAGTTGGAGGAAGACGAGGAGGAGACTGTGAGAAAATGAGAACACAGGTGTGGGATAGGACGGTGTTTGAATCACTGTTGGGGCGCCGTGAGTCTCTTTTGGCCCTCTGGGGGCTGTCTCGGGGTCCTATGGGACCACCCTGGGGGCAGCTTGAAGGCCTATTGGCACTCTCTTGGGCTGCCTTGGGGCATTTCGAGGCCCGCTGGGGCCTCTTTTGGGCCGTCATGCGCCATCTGGGCGCCTTCTTTCGCCGTCTTGGCGATCTCTTGGGCCGTCTTCAGTGACCGTGGAGGCCCTCGTGGGCCTTCTTGGGGCCTTATTGGGTCCGGAGTGATCTGAAACACTCGCGATTTTTTGGGGGGTGCCGAGAAAGCTTCGAAAGCAGCAGCTGCAGATTTCACGGTTTGGGCTGTGCGGGGGGATGTTGTTGCCGACTCTTCTTGGGGTCTCTCGTGGCTTCCTTGGGGCCTCTTGGGGCCTCTCACGCAGTTTTTGAGACCTCTTCGGCCGTCCTTGTGGCCTTGTACGGCTCTCTGACTCGTGAGAGCGGCATCTTGGCCCCCTCCTTTGCCAGTGAGCTCGTCCTAGATGGCCTTGGGTTCTGGTGCTCTCTCTGGACCCTCCCGAGCACCTCCCAAACACCAACAACGGGGTGGTGCGGTCGCGAAATGGTTAGGCACTTCTCACGCCAGTACCCAAGAGGTTGGCGAGTTTAGTGGGCCAAATGCTGGCCTGAAGTTCGACAGGGAAGCGGCCCAGGTGTTTGTCTCGGAGGGCTCGTGCCGCGGGCGGAAGCCTCTGCTGATAGCTCACAACGCCAGGTTCGACAAACGCTTCTGCGACAAGTACTTCCCGGAATGGTCTTGTGACGCCGACTGGGCCTGCTCGTGCAACGGCATCCGCTGGCCTCCTGGACCAAAAAAGCAGGAGCACCTGCTCAAGGCGCGCGGCTACTGCTTCGTCGGGCACCGCGCGATCAACGACGTGCTCGCGCTTGCGTGGCTCATGCATCTGGAGCCCGAGCGCTTCATGGAGATGCTGGAGTCTGGCCGCCTCGAGCGGAGCCCAGGGCCGCGCGCTGAGCCCGCGCGCGCCTCCATTGGCCGACCTGTGGAGGAGAGCCCGCCCGAGAGCGGCCACGGCGTGGTGAGCTTCGGGAGGAAGCACAGGGGCAAGGCCTACGAGCAGGTGGTCGCGGAAGACCCAGGCTACGTCGCCTGGGTCCTCGCGAGGCAGGCCAGCAGCCGCGGCATGCAGGAGTTTCAGGCCTTCCTGCGAGGCCTCGTCGCCGCCCCGGCGGCGAGCGCAACCGCCTGAGCCTGGGCCGCGGCCAGACGCCGCAGGCGTGGAGCCGAGGCGTGGCCGCAGAGACGGATCGGCAGCCGCGGCGTGCAGTAGCTCCAGGGCGTCCTGCGGTGGCTCGCCGCCGCCCCGTCGGAGAGCGCACGGGCCTGGTCCCGAGAGCCGCTCCCGGACGCCGCAGCAGCCGTGGAGCCGAGGCCTGGCCGCACGCCGCGCGGGACGCCGCAGGCGCGGAGGTGTGGCGTGGCTGGGACCATCCTCCCCAAGCCTGGCCACCTCCGCAGTCCCCAAACTGGTCCCGTGGAGGTGGTGAGGCTTGAAGTGCGCACGGGCAGCCTCTCGAGGCAGTCACGGCTGGCCTCGATCGGTACCGTTTAACCGATCCCCATCCCCATCCGCTTCGAGACCCCCACCAAATTATCACCCCAATTGGGGATACACCCCTCGAAACCCGAGGTAACTCGGCCAGTGGGGCCCAGGCCACGCCGCTGGGGATGGGGATCGGTCAAACGATACTGTACTCACTCGACAGTCTCCCCGATGGGTCCCGGGCGGCCTGAAAACCACGACCCTGGGGCGCGGAGCGCCCGTGCGGCGCCGCCACTGGCGGCGCCAAGCCGTGCGGTGTGGAGGCCTGGTGGTTGCGTATCGAAGACCCCTGCAGCGAATCCCCGCCACCCCGTGCCATCTTGAAACGACTGTCAGAAGCCGGGCGACTGCTGGCAAATCCGTGGCTGCTCAAACGGAGCTCCGGGAACCTGTTTTTTCTTCCGGGAAGCAGCCCGCTTACGAGTTAGTGCGCTGAGCTTGATTCCGGGAATTTGTTTTTCCTTCCGGGAATACCGTTTTAGCAGCCACGGATTTGCCAGCCCTCGCCCGGCTTCCAAGACTGTGTGGTGGAATGTCGGGCGATGGTGCGGCCATGCTTGCGGACTGCTGATTCGCCCAGCGCTTGGGGAAACCACCGGTGGAACACTGGGGAGGGGCCCTCTGCGGTCATCTTGGGGCTCTTTGCGAGCCATTCGTCAGGAGGGACAAAGCACACAGACACAATGAATCGTCGATTCCCCAGAAAATATGGGAAGACATGGGAATTGGCGGAGAATCTTGGGACTCTTCTGAGCCGCTTGGCATCACAATCACGCAAAACAGGGAGTGGGAGGAGAAGGCCGAGGAATAGGAGGTGGAGCACGATGACAATGATGATGACGATGATGATTGATGGTGATGATGCTGATGATTATGCTGATGATGATGCTGATGATGATGGTCGTATAACCAATAATTCTTTGAAATATGATGATGATGACGATGATGATGACGCTGATGATGATGATGCTGATGATGCTGATGCTGATGCTGATGAGGATGAGGATGAGGATGAGGATGATGATGATGATGATGATGATGATGATGATGATGATGATGATGATGATGATGAGGATAATGACGCTGATGATGATGAGGATGAGGATGACAGTGGTAGTGGTGGTGGTGGTGGTGGTGGTGGTGGTGGTGATAGTGATGGTGGTGGTGATGGCGATGGTGATGGTGATGGTGATGGTGCTGGTGGTACTGATGTAATGTCGATGATGAGGAAAGTGATCATGATGCTGATGATGCTGCCGAAGGACCACTTCGGCGATGCCGATGATGGAAAGAGCGTGTTCTACCGCTGCTGGCGGAAAACCAGGGGAGGTCACTGGGGGTTCCCAACCCGTCCCCACCCCCCTCGAAAACCGGGGGGGGGGTCACTACCGGTTCGAGCCCCTCCCCCCCCCAGTCCATCATGAAAAGAGGGGGGTGGGTTCACAACTTGGTTCGAACCCACCCCCCCCTCGAAAACCAGAGGGGGTCACTTCCGGTTCGAACCTCCTCCCCCCCCCCCTCGCCGCCGGCAAACGATTCCCGCTCCTCGGGACAGTTGGACAGTGGTGGGGATACTGGACAGTGGTGGGAACGGTGGTGGTGGGGACAGTGGTGCGGGGACAGTGGGACAGTGGTGCGGACAGTGGTGGGGACGGTGGTGGTGGGGACAGTGGTGAGGGGACAGCGGGACAGTGGTGGGGACAGTGGGACAGTGGAGTGGACGGTAGTGGTGAGGCGAGGCGAGGCGAGGCGAGGCGAGGCGCCGGTCAGTCGTCCCGGCGGGGACGGCCCTACGAGAGCCCGGCGGTGGCGCCGGAGCGCCGAGAAAGTACCTTAGTCGAGGGGGAAGGAGGGAGGAACGACTCAGACCGTGAAGTGGGAGTTTCGCACACAATCCCCACAATTGACATAAGCCAAAATTTCGGCTCCAACGCCGACCATGCTCTCTTGTCCGTCGCAATGTGTATCCACCTTTTGTGGTCGTCGTCTCCCTCGTGTGTAGTGACTGTGCGTACGAATTGTGTGATTTCGGCATCCCATCTTTTCCGTTGTCCTCCGTGGCGTCGTAGGGTTTGGCGTGGGTCGTGGGTGTTCGGGGTCCATTGTAGTGAGAGCCGCGTCCATCTGTCGTAGTCGTGGGTTGCGACGCGCGATGCCCGCCGCCACTTCCGTGTGAAGTATACCGTAGGCCAGTCCTCTACGCCTGCGCGCCGAGCATGCTCTAGGGATGCGTGCGTCGATCGTCGTATGAATTCTTCCCATGGTTCCAACCCGTCGTCTTCTTCTCTGTCGTCGGCTCTGTCGTGGTGGATGGGGGAGTCTGCTGCGTCGGCGCTGGTCGTTTCGTTGGTGTCAGTGCCGCGAATGTGGTTTTGTATATTGCGACGCCTTGGCATCCCGATGACAAGCCTGAGCATCCTTCGCTGTGCACGCCGTAAAGTGAGAAGCATGTCGCTTGTGAGGGTCAAAGAGGAGCACCCGTACATCACTGATGCTGTGATTGTTTTGTTGAACAGCCTCAGTCGATTGTGGAGTGGGAAGCGCTTAATTGGTTGAAGTGACCCCATCCTGCGGCAATCCTATTGCGTAGCTCTGTCTCGTGGAAGTCATGGAAAGTAAGCTTCCTTCCTAAATACTTCGTGCTCTGGACGGAACGCAATATTTCGATGCGTTCGCCGTTGATGTCGACATGAGAAATTGTTCTCCCCTCTCTCCGGCTGACGTTCGTCAGGATCTTGGTCTTGTCCGGGTGCAGTGCCAAACCGCATGCCTTGGCTTGGGACTGTACATTTCGGAGCGAGCAGGAAAGCTGTCGTAAGTTTGGGGCATAGAGCAAGACATCGTCGGCGAAACGTGGATTTGTGATTCGTGCTAGTGGTGCGAAGCCTAGTTGGATCCCGAAATTCTTGCGCTGCCACCCAGGTTTCACTTGTCTGAACACCTGCTCGAGGACAGCATTGAACAAGAAAGAGCTCAGTGGGTCTCCCTGTTTCACGCCACGCTCGATACTGAAAGCCCTGTGGTGGGGACAGTGGGGACGGTGGGACAGCACAGTAGGACAGCGGCGGGGACAGTGGGACAGTGGTGGGTACAGTGGGGACGGTGGGATAGTGGTGGGGGCCGTGGGGAAAGTGGGGAGAGTGGGACCGTGGTGGGACAATGGTGGGGAGAGTGGGGACAGTGAGACACTGGTGGGGGCACTGGTGGGGACAGCGGGGACAATTGTGGGAACAGTGGGGACAGTGGGACAGTGGTGGGGACTGGGATAGTGGTGGGGACGGTGGTGGTGGGGACAGTGGTGTGGGGACAGTGGGAATGTTTTGAGGACAGTGGGACAGTGGTGGGGACAGTGGTGGTGGGGACAGTGGTGAGGGCGGTGGCGAGGACGGCGGTGGGACAATGGGACAGAGGCACAGTAGGGACAGTGGTGGGGACAGTCTTGGGAACAGTGGGACAGCTCAGTGGGACAGCGGCGGGGACAGTGGGACAGTGGGATAGTGGGGACAGTGGAACAGTGGTTGGGGCCGTGGGGAAAGTGGGGAGAGTGGGACCGTGGTGGGAACAGTGGTGGGGGCAGTGGGAACAGTGCGAGAGTAGTGGGGGCACTGGTGGGGGCAGTGCGGACGATGGTTGGAACAGTGGGGACAGTGGTGGTGAGGACAGTGGTGCTGGGGGCAGCAGGTGGGGGATGTGGTGCGGACGGTGGTAGGGACCCGGGAGTCGTTTGCCGGCGGTGAGCGTGGGGCGGGAGGGGATGGGTTCGAACCGGTAGTGACACCCCCGGGTTTTCCGGAGGGGGGCAGGGGGGGGGGTTCGAACCGGTAGTGACCCCCCTCGGTTTTCTGGGGGGGGGGGGGGGTCGAACCGGTAGTGACCCCCCCCCGTTTTCCCGAGGGGGGGGGGGTTCGAACCTGCAGTGACCCCCCTTTGGTTTTCTGGGGGGGGGGGTCGAACCGGTAGTGACACCCTCCCGTTTTTCCGGGGGGGGGGGTTCGAACCGGTAGTGACCACCCCCGCGGTTTTCCCCGGGGGGGGGGTCGAACCCGTAGTGACCCCCTCTGGTTTTCTGGAGGGGGGGAGGAAGGGTTAGGGGGGGGGGGGGCGTTGCCGGGGGAAGGGGGGGGGTCCAGCAGGGGGGGGAGATTTTCGGAGGGGGGGGGGACCCCCGGGTTACGGAGGAAGAGGGGGGAGAAGTTTCCACAGTAAAGCGGCGGTGGATCACGCCTCTCCGATGATGATGATGATGATGATGATGATGATGATGATGATGATGATGATGATGATGATGATGATGATGATGATGATGATGATGATGAGGAGGAGAGGAGGAGGAGGAGGAGGAGGAGGAGGAGGATGATGATGATGATGATGATGACGACGACGACGACGACGACGATGATGACGATGATGATGATGATGATGATGATGGTGATGCTGCTGATGATGATGATGATGATGATGATGACGATGATGATGATGATGATGATGGTGATGCTGATGATGATGATGATGATGATGATGATGATGATGATGATGTCGGTTGTGATGATGACGATAGCGATGATGATGGTGATGGTGGTGGAAAGGATGATGGTGATGGTGGTGCTGCTGATGATGCTGATGATGATGATGCTGGTGATGATGACGGTGGTGGTGGTGATGATGAGGATGACGACGATGATGATGATGATGATGATGATGATGAGGCTGTTGCTGCTGGTGATGATGATGATGATGATATTGGCGGTGGTGATGGTGTATACTAATGATGATGATGCTGATGCTGATGATGATGATGATCATGATGATGATGACGATGATGATGATGTGATGATGATGATGATGATGACGCTGCTGATGATGATGATAGTGGTGGTGATGTTGGTAGTGACGACAGTGGTGGTGATGGTGGTGATGGTGATGATGATGGCGATGATGACGATGGTGATGATGGTAATGGTGATGGTGATGGTAGGGCGGTTGTGATGGTTATGATAATGATGATGGTCATACTGATGATGATGTGGATGACTCTGATGGTGCTAGTGATGATGGTGATGATGACGATGACGATTGTGATGATGATGATGGCGATGATGCTGGTGATCGATGCTGCTGATGATTGTGCTTAAGAGGATGATGCTGATGTTTGGGGTGATGCTGAGGATGATGCTGATGATGATGATGAGGATGATGACGCTGGTGATGATGACGATGGGGATGACGATGATGATGATGATGATGATGATGCTGTTGTTGATGTTGATGACCGCCACGATGACGATGATACTGATGATGATGAAGGCGATGTTGCTGCTGCTGATGATAAGGATGATGCTGATTATGATGAGGATGATGGTGATGTCGCCGCAGAGAGCGATATTGATGGTGATGGTGATGGTGCTGCTGATGATGATGATGATGATAATGATGATGATGATGATGCTGGTGATGATGATGATGATGAGCAGTGATGCTGGTGATGATGACGATGACGATGATATTGATCATGATGGATGGGATGCCGATTCTGCTGATAACGATGGTGATGGTGATACTGCTGGTGATGACGTCGTTCCTGATGATTGTTATGTTGATGCTGATGTTGGCGATGATGCTGCTGATGATAATGATGATGGTGATGCTGTGGCTGATGATGATAGGACCCATACGCTAGAAATGATAGTGACGATCATGATGATGCTGCTGCTGCTGATGCGGATGATGTTGCTGATGAGAGTGGCGATGTCGATGCCGATGCTGATGATGGATAGTGATCCCAATGTTTTTGATGATTACCATCACGATGATGCTGATGATGGTGATGATGATGCTAATTGTGGTGACGATTCTGATGATGATGGTGATGATCATAATGATAACGATGATGATGATGACGATGATGACTATGATGATTATGATGATGATGGTGGTGCTGATGATGATGATGATGATGATGCTGACGATCATGGTGATCATGATGGTGATGATGATTGTGAGGATGATGTGATGGTAAAGGTGGCGATGATTGAGATGCTGATGCGGATGATGAGGATTCTGATTGGGATGCTGATTCTGATGAGTATGAGGGTGATGATGATGCGGAATGATGATGGTGATGCTGATGATGGCGCTGCTGATGATGATGATGATGGTGATGATGGTGATGATGATGATGATGACGAGGACGATGAGCGACAGGAATGGAAGGGGGACGATGCTGTTGACGATGGTGATGATGATGATGATGACAACGAATACTACGACGACGACCGACGACGATGATGCTGATGATAATGATGATGATGATGATGATGCGGATGATTGGCGTGGGGATCACTTACTCCACTCCACTCCACGGTCAAGTGCGACACTACCTTCTGATTGTGACGGTAATCATACTAATGTTGAGGATGACGATGATGACGATGATGACGATACTGATGATAATGCTGCTGCTGATGATGCTTATAATGATCCTGATGGTGATGATGATGACGCAAGGGGGATGGCGATGTTGTTGATGATGACGATGATGAGGCAGAGGATGAGGCAGAGGATGAGGAAGATGAGGATGAGGATGAGGATCAAGATGAACATGATGATGATGCTGCTGATGATGATGTTTCTGCTACTGCTGCTACTGATGATGATGATGATGATGATGATGCTGATGCTGATGCTGATGCTGATGCTGATGCTGATGCTGATGCTGATGATGATGATGATGTGATGATGATGATGATGAGGATGGCGAGTCTGACGATGACGGCGATGACGACACCGACGACTGCTGCTGCTGTTCGTTATAATGCTGATCATGATGATGCTGATGATGATGATGAAGATGATGAAGATGATGATGATGATGATGATGATGATGATGATGATGATGATGATCATGATCATGATCATGATCATGGTGATGATGATGGTGGTTATGGCGATGGTAGTGGTGATGTTGGTGGTGATGATGAGGAGGAGGAGGAGGAGTAGGAGCAGGAGCAGGAGGAGGAGGAGGAGGAGGAGGAGGAGGAGGAGGAGGGGCAGTATGAGGAGGGCCAGACCGGTGGCTTCTTTTCACCCGCGGTGCCGCTCGGAGGACACCCTGGGGTCGTCCGCGAGCGCGCTGGGCACAGTGACCGTCGTAGGATGGGGTATCTTTTCTTCTTCCGCGCGACCAGTCCTCCTCCTCAGACCTCCTCTCCCTAGATCTCCCAAGATATGTTTTTTTTTCAATGTGGGCGATTTTTCTCGATTTCGGCCTCCGGGGCCCGTTATTGGGCCCAGGGGCTGTCAAAAACGGAACCAGGGGGAACCACTCCCCCCAGGGAAGGGATCGGGACCTGTGGGGTCGTGCATTGAATGCGGATGCGTCCTCCTCGTGCCCCTCCTTTCGTAGCCCTTTTGGCTTGAGTCGCACGTTTCTCAAGGAGTATCAGGGCGCAGAGCAGTCTGTCAAACGCCACAGGTGGTTGCCTAGCCAGTTGCGGGGCAACACAGCGCACTTGTCTTCGCATCTCTACTTCGCATTTATGGTCGTCGCGGCGCCCCTGGTGAAGAAGGCACCGAGGCATCGGCGTGAGGACTGATACTGCAGGTTTAGGTCAGCTCGTGGCAGTCTCAAGCGTGAGCGAGCTGGATATTTCTCCAGGCAGTGCTCGAACTAAGGTGTTCTTACGTGCGTTGCTGTGTGCTTGGCTGGCGCCCGCAGACTCTCTGCGGTCAGGCTTCCCTCCTCCTCCCGCCTCCGCGGCCGCCCCCTGTTCTTTCCAACCGCACTTGCGCGCCTTGGCTCTGCGCGCCCCGCTGGCTTACAGACGCGCCTGCGCCCGCCAGCGCTGCAGGCAAGCGCGTCGGCCGACGTTTCCAAGCTTTCGCCTGGTGGGAGGCCGTCGCCGCCTCGTCGCCGCCTCTTTCGTGGGCTGGCACCTCCCCGTTGTCGGGCCGCAGCTGACCGTCGCCGCCTCGTCGCTGCCCCAGGGCGCTGGCTGACGGTTCCTGGGTTCTCGGTCTGGTGGCCAATACGTCGCCGCGTCGTCGCCACACCGCGTGTGGGCTGGCGTTTCTTTCTGGGCTTCCGCCCCGTGGAGAAGATACCGATGCCGCTTCTCGCCCTGAAGAGGTCTCGTCGCCACGACTGGAGTTTCTTCGAAGCTCTAGCCAGAACGCGCCCCTGGAGAGGTATGGGCACGTCTCTGTTCCCTCGCATAGATTCTATCCCATACAGTGCACCGCAAATGGTGAGCCACGCAGATTGCATGTCAGATGCTGCGCCACATCGATTGCACCGCACAGGTTGCAATACACATACGTTGCGCCACATGGTCTGAACCATTTGGACTGCATCGTGCGGGTTGCATCAGATAGAGCGCACATCGAGAGTGCGACACCCACAGTGTTGGGTCCACGCTTGCCAACATTGTATGCTGAAGAGCTAATCTATGATCTCATCGGCGCGCGGTTTACGCCCATGTCGCGCAGCACGAGTTGCAGCATGTCGGGAGCGAGGCCGACGCCTAGTGTGCAGCACCTCGAGCACCTCCACCGGCAGCAGAAGGAGCTGTCGCAGCTTCGCGACAGGGCCCAGACTCCCGGCGCCGTTTTTTTCACAACGTGGCCCCCAGAGTTCTCGACCCCTTCCCTGGCACCGGCTTGTCATCCCGAGTCGTGTTTTCACGGCCCTGTAGCCCGGTAAGGGCCCGTGGACGCCAAGAATGGCCGAACATTTACGTCGAGTTTGTTTCGCGACGTGGGGCCGTGTGTGTGTGTGTGTGCGTGTGTGTGGTGCGTCTCGAGCGCATCGCGGACAGCAGCGCGCAGCCTTCGCGCCTGGCGCCGCCCTGCGGGTGCCGGCAGTGGCTCGGGCTCCCCGCAGTCCGGACGATGGCGTGCGCAAGGGGTGGGCCGAGGGGCCCCGCGTGCAGCTGGCCTCGCAGGAAACCGCCTGGCGGTGGATCGCCGAGGCGTGGCTCGCTGCCGCGTCCTCGTCCAAACCCAGAGGAGAAGGTACCCATACCTCTACCCTCTCCTCGCTTTCCCCTTTCTGGGCCTCCTGGGCCTCCCTCGTCGCCACCGCGGGACTCGCCCCGAAATCCTGGTCAGAACGCACCCCGGGAGAGGTGTGGGGAGTAGCGGCATCGGTACCTTTTGTTTCCCCCACAAAGATCGGGGGAACAAAACGTGACATCAACATAAAAACTCGGAGGTCCGCGCGGATTTCTCGGATCGGCGCTGGGGCCCCCCGGCGGCGCCTCCGGCGCCGCCCCTGGCGCGCTCCGCGCGCCAGGGAGGGGGGGTCCAGCGCCGATCCGAGAAATCCGCGCGGACCTCCGAGTTTTTGTGTTTATGCCATCTTTCGCTTCCCTAAAACACCCCACGGATGCTCCCAGGAGATCCTTCGGCAAGGTGGCCGAATGAGCGCCTGCGTTCAGGTAGCGAGTCATGCCCTGCCTGGGCGCCCGATCCTGGGCTTCGGCCTTGGGCCGTGGCCGCTCGTGCCGTTGCGCAGGCCCGCGTGCACCAGCGCCGGCACCGGCATCTCCTCCCTCCCTCTTTTCCGTCCCTCTCGCTCGCGGTCACTCTCTTGTTAGGAGGCTTCTACTGGGAGGTTTTCGTATTACGCCGGAGTGGGCCTCGGATTAAGGCCGGATTAACAAGGTTTAAGTGGGATTAAGCGGGATTAAGCCAGATTAAGCCAGATTAAGCCAGATTAAGCCGGATTAGGCTGGACTTCGGACCAGTGCAAAATCAGAATTTGACCTCCCAGGAGTTGCATCCCAACTCTTGCTGCCGCTGCCCCTGTGCTGCAGTTGCTGCTCCCCCGGGCTGGTTCTGGATATCTCGAGCTGTTTTTGACGGGCGCGTGGCCAGACGAGGGCCCCGGGATGTAGAAATTCAGGGAAAGCCTCTCGCCGTGATTTTTTTTGCAAGGAGAAGAGGTCTGGGTGGGAGGAGGGGGTGGGAGGGGAGATGGAGAGGGATACGGTTGGGAGGGGCAGTAGGGCATAGCAGGGGAGGGGAGCAAAAGGGAGATGGAGAGAGGGCAGGCATCTACCTTCTTGAAAAGTCAAGACGGAGGTTTTCGATAATCTTCGGCCTACGGGGGGCTGGTTGTGGGCCCCAGCCTCGCTTTATCGCGACTCAGGAAGAGAATCTGGCCCGTGGAGAAGGGTCGGTACTTCCAGGGACCCCGTATTGACCACCAGGACGTCGGATGTCTGGGGTTGCTTCGCCAAGGCGAGGGCGGGGAACGCACTATTTTTTGGGGGGCCCTGCTATAGCTCCGGAGCTAGCGCAGTTCCCCCCGAAGCGCCGACCGCGGCGTCCCTGATGTGGCGGACATCGATCGGTGTTCTGGCCAGCGCCCGGGCGGAGCCGGAGGGGAGGGCCAATCCTGGCCCACGGTCGGTTCACGCCGCGTTGGCGCGGCGGCGGCCCCCGCGCGGGCGTTCAAGTCTGGACGCCGCCAGTGGTCGAGGATCGGCCGTCATTTAGGTGGTCGGGCACAGGCATTAGCGTTTGTACCAGGTGTCCTTCGCTTCCGCATGAACGACGCACGCGCTGAAACATGGTGTAGCACAAGCACCTTGGCGGGCTCGGTCTGGCCGTACCGCTTGGATAGCGACACGCTGCAGCATGTCATTGCCATTGCTCCCGATCGGACGTGCGCCTCCAAGGGGGGCACAGTACTAGTATGTCCTTCTTCCTACCGGGCGGCCTGTCTCACACTACTTCTGACGCGCCTGCTTGCGGAGTCTGCTGTCGTTTGGGTGCCCGATTTCCTCTCCTCCCCCCACCAAAAACTACTAGCATGTCCTTCTGCGCCGCAGTGCACGACCCGCATGGTGTTCGAAACCAGCGCCACCTCCATCGCAGAATTCACCAGCCGCAGACCGCGCCCCTCGGGGCCTGAGGAAGCTGCGAACGCGGCCCGCTTCGGCACGGACCGCGCCGGGGCCCCGCAGAAAAGCGGCCATCTCTCAGCGCTCACCGCCGGCAAGAGCGACGGCGAGCTGCTCGACGTGCTCTCCGCCATCGTGGTCGCCATTAGGGAGGGGATGACACGGAAGCAGCGAGATCCACGGTCAAGTCGGGGGTGTCCCTCTACAGGAGGAATAGTCCAGAACAGTAACAAACCAGTCAGGTTGCCCTGGGATCATCTTCTGAGTATTTTTTGGTTTTCTTCCAGAATCCGTCTGCAGGAGGGCATGCTCGATCTAGACCTACGGCAGGCTCGCTCCGCGACGCCGCGGCGGCGACGCGATGCGCAAGCGCGCCAGGTGGAGCACCCTCTGGGGGGGCCCCGTGTCGGGCCCCAGGCCTCACGAGCAGCAGCCGGGGGCGCGAAATCGGTGCGAAAGATGGGGCTCACAGCCTCTGGAGGCCTCCGGGATCGAAGGAAATAACACATACACATTTCTCATTTCTAAGTCTTCGAAAGTTCTTTGATTTTCTGGGGGGCCAAGATCCTTTCATTTCTTATCCTGGGCCTCTTCCTGGCCACTAGGGGGCCAGGAACAACTAGAAACGAGCACGATGAGAAATGAGCACGATTAGAAATGAACGACGTGTACGGCACAATCATGAACTTTCGACGCTCCGCGCGGATTTCTCGGATCGGCGCGGAGACCCCCTGGCGGCGCCTCTGGCGCCGCCCCCGGCGCGCTCCGTGCGGCAGGGAGGGGGGTCCGGCGCAAGAAATCCGCACGGTGCGCCGAAAGTTTATGTTCTGCGGTGTTCTCCTCTCAATTCTACTCATTCCAGTTACAAGACAACTATGTCCTGTATTGTTATTTCTTGTCACTACCTCCCTGTGTCAGGATTGGGTCATTTGCGCGCCTGCTGCCTTCCTTAGATGTGGTAGCCGTTTCTCAGGCTCCCTCTCCGGAATCGAACCCTAATTCTCCGTTGCTCTGGAGGCCCCCGAGAGCGGGAGTCATTCAAGATTGAGCCCACGCAGCGTCAGAAACCAAGGCCCGCACAACGAGGGCAGCAATTCGCCGTATGATATTTCCGTTTTTGTCGAGAATTCTCAAGGAGGCAAGAAATATAGTCGGGTGCATCGTGGCGGTTTCGATGTTTTTTTTGTTGTTCTCTGTGTCTCTCTCTCTCGCTCTCTCTCTCTCTCTCTCTCTCTCTCCATCACGCGCCGTTGTGCGGTGCGGGGTGCGAGCTTTGGCCTCAATGCGAGCCGTATTGCTTGATCGGAATGGCGCTCTCGCCCCAGCGACGGCTACATTCCCGGCTAAGAGTGGAGCTCTTGCCTCAGCTTCGGCCACGTTCCTGTTGTCACCGCCCCGGAGTCCGACACTTGCCCCGGGGGCCGAAGCCGTGTAAAAACGCCCCGGAGGCCCGAAACTTGGCCCCAGGGGCCAGACAGTCTATATAAAAGACAGCCTGTCGCGATTTGCTGCACGACGCGATTTGGATTCCCTTCGGGGATCATCCGTTAGAATTGGAACGACACAGAGGAGATTAGCATGGCCCCTGCGCAAGGATGACACGCACACATCGAGAAGTATATACATGCACTTTTCATGCAGGGCTGGTTTCTCACCCAGAGCCGGTTCTTGGCAGCCCTGGGGCCCAGGGCGAAGGCCCCCCGCCGCGAGGCCAGACGCTCCCACACCAAACGTGCGCTGCCATGCTGTTGCGGGCAGGAGGTCGCTCCCCGCGCTCCCGCACCCGTGCCCCCGGGAGATGGGGCGGCCATCCAGGGCAAGGATAAAGGGGGGGAATGGGCTCAGGGCGGGAAGGCATTGCTTCCCCCCTGAGCTGGTCCCCTCCTAAACGGTGCCCCTCAGGCCTTCTCGGGCCGTCTCACCCCGCGCCCAGGTCGCGGGAAACCGCTTCTCGACGGCGGTAGCCATCGGCGTGGCGGCGAAGGCCGAGCGGGCGGTGCAGTGGGCAGGGGCGCGACCGTCAGGGCCTCGCTTCTCTCTGCCCTCCCCCTCTCGGCAGGAGGGGGAGGAGCAGGCAGGAGGATGAAGAGGCGGGCCAAGCAGGAGAAGAGGGAGGGGGGAGGGGGAGGGAAAGGGGGAGGGGGAGGGGGAGGAGGAGGAGGAGGAGGAGGAGGAGGAGGAGGAGGAGGGGGATGATGATGATGATGATGATGAGGAGGAGGAGGAGGAGGAGGAGGAGGAGGCGGCGGATGATGATGATGAGGAGGAGGAGGATTAGGCGGAGGTGGAGGAGGAGGACGAGGAGGGTGATGCTGAGGATGATGGTGGTGGTGATCATGGTGGTGATGATGCTGATGCTGATGTTGCTGCTGATGATGCTGCTGCTGATGATGCTGCTGCTGATGATGCTGATGCGGATGCTGATGGTGTTGGTGATGATGCTGTTGATGATGACTATTATGTTGATAGTGATGATGATGACGATGATGATGCTGATGCTGATGATGCTGCTGATGATGATGGCGATGATGCTGATGACGACGATGCTGATGATGATGATGACGATGATGATGGCGACGATGATGATGACTATGATGATGGTGATGATGGTCACGCTGATGATGCTGATGATGCTAATGATGACGATTATGATGCTGATGATGTTCCTGGCGTCGAGGACGATGATTAGGCTGCCGTTGGTAATTATGACTATGATGCTGCTGGTGGTGATGGCAACCAAACTGGTTATACTTTTACTTAGTTATCGTGCTGGCGACGACGACAAGTATGAGGATGTCGAGGACGATGATGATGCAGATGACGACGCAGACGACGATGATGATAAGGATGCTGACGTCGATGACGATGCTGATGACAATTATGATGATGATGATGATGATTATGATGATGATGATGACGATGATGCTGACGCCGCTGATGATGATGACGATGCTGGTGCTCATGCATCCGCTCCTGATGCTTAGGATGATGGTGATGATGCTGCTGCTGATGTTGCTGCTGATGCTGCTGCGGATGCTGATGCTGATGATAATTCTGATGCTGCTGATGACGATGATGATAGTGCTGATGCAGATAAGGATCAGGATGATGCTCATGATGCTGCTGCATATGATGCTGCTGATGGTAATCATGACTATCATTGTGGTGATGGTGATGGCCACTAAACAGGTTATACTTTGATTGATCGTGCTGGCGACGACGACAACTATGAGGATGTCGAGGACGATGATATGCTGATGACGACGCAGACGACGATGATGCTGATGATGACGATGCTGCTGATGAGGATTCGGAGGATGGGGATGATGACGATGGTGATCATGATGACGACGATGCTTATCGTGCTGCTGCTGATGATGCTGCTGATGATGACAATGAGTATGATGATTATGATGCTGATACTGCTGATGATGATGATTATGATGATGATGATGATGATGATGATGATGATGATAACGATGATGTGGAGGATAAAGAGTATGATGGTGGTGATGATGACGATGATGATGATGATGATGATGATGATGATGATGATGATGATGATGATGATGATCATGATCATGATGACGATGATGATGATGATGCTGCTGATGATGACGATGCTGATGACGAGGACGATGGCGACAACGATGATGCTGCTGATGATTCTGATGATGTTGACGCCGGCGGCGACGACGACGACGATACGACGACGACGATAACGACGACGACGACGACCACACGACGACGACGAAGAGGAGGATGAGGAGGAGGAGGGAGAGGAGGAGTAGGAGTAGGAGCAGGAGTAGGAGGAGGAGGAGGAGGAGGAGGAGGAGGAGGAGAAAGCGATGAAGATGATGAGGAGGAGGATGAGGACGAGGACGAGGAGGATGAGGAGGAGGAGGAGGACGAGGAAGAAGAGGACGAGGAGGATTCTGAGTTGGAGGAGGGGGAAGCGGAGGAGGAGGAGAACGAAGAGGATGAGGATGAGGAGGAGGAGGACGAGGAGGTAGAGGCGGAGGAGAGGGAGGAGGTGGCGGAGGCGGAGGCGGAGGCGGAGGAAGAGGAGCAGGAGGAGGAGGAGGACGAGGAGGAGTTAGTTGGTCGAGGAGGAGGAGAAAGACCAGTGTAAACACAATGCAAGCCCAAAACTCATCAATAATATTGCGAGAAACCCTCCCTCCAAGTTCCCTCTTCATGGGCTCCTACACGGATTCATTTTCAATGGGGGAAAGGCACCGTTGGAAGACAACCTTTGCACATTCCGGAATGGTGCCAGAACGCCATTTCTGGGTCTTGAACGCCGCGAATCACAGTTATTGTTGCGTCTTGACGATCCGAACCTTACCATAACACCATTTATGGGATTTGAACACCCTCAACGTGACTGTTGCGCCCTGTTATGCCGACATCGTGCCAACATGCTGATTCTTGGATATTTTCCACGAGAACCCTTGAAACTGCTGCGAACTGTTGAGACGAATGTGCGCGGCGCTACGGCGAAAGCAACATTTGAAAAGGAGGCGCCCTCCCGTGAAGCTCTTGCAAACTTTGCGACGAGTGTGAGCGGCGCTAAGGTGAGAGCCACATTTTAAAACTCCATCCGTGACACTATTGCGAACTTTTGAGACGAATGTGCCCGGCTCAACGGCGAGAGCAACCTTTTAAAAAGTAGCCGCATTCCATCCGTGAAGCTCTTGCAAACTGATGACGTGTGTGCGCGGTGCTAAGGCGAGAGCCACAGTTTGACAACGGTCCGGCCTCCGTTCGTGAAGCTATTGCACATTTGGAACACGACTGTGCGCGGCGCTAAGACGAGAGCCACATTTTCAAAACGGACCGCCCTCAATCCGTGAACCTGTTGCAAATTTCAAGCTTCAGGATCATACGTTGTGAGGAAGTCCCTTGCGAACCGCCCGGGCCGCCCTTTCGACCAGCCTCGGGGTGCGACAGGGAGGAGTCATTCAGAGTTGATCATAAGCAAAGGAGTGCTAGGAGGAGGAGGAGGAGGAGGAGGAGGGGGAGGGGGAGGAGGCAAGAGGAGGAGGAGAAGGAGGAGGAGGAGGAGAAGGAGGAGGAGGTGGATTATGTTGAGGATGATGCTGCTGCTGATGATGCAGATGATGATGATGATGATGATGATGATGATGATGATGATGATGATGATGATGATGATGATGCTGCTGATGCTGATGCTGATGCTGATGATGACGATGATGCTGCTGCTGATGATGATTATGATGATGCTGATGATTATGATACTGATTATGATGATGATGGTAATGCTAATGACGCTGCTGATGATGATGCTGATGATGCTGGTAATGTTGCTGCTGATGATGCTGACGATGATGATGTTGCCGACGATGCTGCTGATGATGCTGCTGGTGATGATGCTGCTGCTGATGATGATGCCGATGATGCTGCTGATGATGCAGGTGCTGCTGCTGATGATGCTGATGATGCTGATGATGCAGCTGATGACATTGATTATGCTGATTATGCTGCTGCTGATGATGTTGATGACGATGCAGATGATGATGACGATGATGATGATGATGATGATGATGATGATGATGATGATGATGATGATGATGATGATGACGATGTGAATGCTGCTGCTGATGATGATGCAGCTGTTGCTGCTGATGATGATGCTGATGATACGGATGATGACGATGATGATGATGATGATGAGGAGGAGGAGGAGGAGGAGGAGGAGGAGGAGGAGGAGGAGGAGGAGGAGGAGGAGGAGTCAGGAGGAGGAGGGGTAGGCGGAGGAGGAGGAGGAGGAGGAGGAGGAGGAGGAGGAGGAGGAGGAGGAGGAGGATGGGAGGAGGAGGAGGAGGAGGATGAGGAGGAGGAGGAGGAGGAGGAGGAGGAGGAGGAGGAGGAGGAGGAGGAAGGAGGAGGAGGAGGAGGAGGAGGAGGAGGAGGAGGAGGAGAAGGACGAGGAGGAGGAGGAAGTCGAGGAGGAAGTTGAGGAGGAGGTCGAGGAGGAGGATCCGCGCGCATCGAGGGGCGGGCTGACGGCCGCCTCACAAGCGCCCGCGGTCGCGGGCGCGCCGACAGGGGCCCTGCCGCCAGGCGAGGGCCCCTGGCCACGGGAGCCGCTCAAGGCAGGCTCCCGACGATGAGAGCAGGGGCCCTGCCGCCAGGCAAGGGCCCCTGGCCACGGGAGCCAGGCTCCCGACGAGGAGACAGGGGCCCTGCTGCGAGGCAATGGCCCCTGGCCACGGGAGCCCGCAGGCAGCGGGCTCCCGACCACGGGGGCCCCCAACTGGGCCAGACCCCCGACCATGCAAGTATCAGGTACTCGCGCATCTGGGTGCAGACCATCACCATCAGCGCGAGCCAGTACTGCTGGAGGACAAACTTCCGTCCAGCATCTTCATGGAGACCACGACCTTCGAGGAGATCGTGGGCGCCAACCTTTTCTCCAGCCTCGACAGCACAGCCTTGCCTTTGCTGCCAGGGTGACCGCACTCTTTCTTGAACGTGGAGGGCCTGGCTGCCGCGGAAACGCCACATACTAGGCAACCAATCACCGCCATGTCCTTGACAAGCTCAGAACCCCTCACGGGCGCTAGCTCCACAAGCACATGCTTCTTGTCCAACTTGGAATTCATCTCAAGCACCGTCGGGACGATGCTACCTGGGCACTCCGATCTGCGGCGCTCGTACCATCTGCACCTGGCACACCACTTGGCACCCTCGCCACCCCTGGGGTCGCACATCAGCTTGGTTGCCACAGGTCTGACTGCTGCCTTGGGTGCTGGCTTGTTGGGTTTCGCAGTGCGATGTGAGCAGTCCGTACCATCGACTCGAGAACCCACGGCAGCAACCCACAGGGCCACTCCTCCAGCAACCTCACGAGACTCCCGAAGCCGTCGACGATCAGCTTCGGAGATCCGCCCAACAGCAGCCGCCCGCTTGGCCGCTTTGTCTGCCAAGTAGTTGCCATACCAATCGCGATAACATGGG